GGGGGGCATCCAAAGCAAAGGGATTCTGCTCCGCGCGAGACGAGTACAACAACGGCTGAGAGAGGGGAACTCGTGAAGAGATGTCCGATTTGGAAAGATAGAAATACACTGAACTGCTCAAGATGTGCCTTATTTATTTTACCATCCAGCTATTTCAAAAGTATGATATTACTTTCTTGCAATATTTAACCTCTTCTTTCTCTCTATACAATAATTATGGAATGCACGGAAAAAAGATTCGCAGCTAATACATTCGCAGGTATGTGGACAAGGTAAACTAATAAGTTTCTGGAGTAACTGTGTGAGCTATTCGAACTGATTATTGACTGAAGCAGACAAATTTGTATGTTCCTACTACCTGCTTATTATCTTTTAGAGTCAATATTCGACTGCTGCAGTCAATAATCGGTTAAAATAGTTCATGTAGTTACTCCAGAAACTCATTAGGTTACCTGTTCAAATAGCAGCGCATATGTATGCTCGGAGCAGACTTTCTTTTCGTGTGGAAGAAAGAAGTGATGGTTTAGTGGTGCGGGGGACATAGCTTTTAGGTATGTATTCTTCACTGAAAATGCTAGTCAGATATCTGTGCAGTATAACACGGCCTCGTCCTGAAAGATATATTTCTTTCAACAGACAGGACTGGGACTTGTTCCGCGGACTGTTTGCTGAAACTCACTCTGCATGCAGAGTTTGTCTAGCAGAAGGGTCGGGTCATGTTGTGTCTGGATGTATGCGTGTGTGTGGTTTTCCCAGGGGCCGACGGGCGACGGGTTGGGCACTAGCAGCAGACGGAAAGAAGACACAGACAGACAATCGGAGGGACAGACAGACTGCGGTGGGGCGGGAGGAGGAGGAGGAGGAGGGTCAGCAGGGCGAGGCACAACGGCGGTCCTTAAGGTTCCAATCTCCATGCGACCCGCTGCCAACGGTTCCACGGTCGCCAAGAAGAGAGAACGCGCTTTGGTGGAGCGCTTTAACTACTTTTTGTAAAGCTGTGCTCATTGCTGTGTACCACCAGTTCCAGGTAAAGCCGGCTGAGGCCTGGCCTGGCCTGGCGCGGCGGGGCGGGGCGAGGCGGGGCGGGCTCGGCGCGGGGAGGGGTGGGGTGGGGCGGCTGGAGTGCCCAGTCTGGCGCACATCCATCCCCGCTAAACGAGTTGTCACATTTCCAGTTGCTCGGTGTTCTGGTCGGGCCGAGCCGAGTCGAGGCAAAAGCCGAAACGAGCCGAGCCGAGGCAAGCTTAGCCCATCCGAGCGGAGCCGGGGCCCGGCCGGCGCGGCGCGCTGCGTCGCACTGCGTGCTTTACTTCCAGCGACGCTCTTACACTTATATTGCTGACCGGATTCAGTTTCGCGGCATGCGTTCGTTCCACCTCGCTCCGGCGGCGGCCACCCGCTCCAGTGCAAACGCGAGTGCGAGCCTACAAAGTAAAGCCTCGGTATTAAGTTTTCGGCAATGTATTTACTGTTTGGTTTTTCCCTCGGTACGTATACGAGATGGACCAGGTTGTGACGAACGCGCCGTTAAGTGCAGAGTACGCAGCGCGTAGACTGGCAACCCGCTATGCGCACAATACTGGCATACATAATTTGTGTGAAAGATGCTGCATCCAATTACTTTCAACAACACAACATTTAATTTTAAATAGGATTTACACAAGTGAACGGAAAACGACGCAGTTATTCAAAATTGAAATGTGAGAATACTCGCTGTACTCTACATCTCACATCTGTACATTATTAATGTAATACTTGCCCGTGTGTAGATTAAAAAGAGTACACATAGTATCGTCAGTGTCCGTAGCGGGCATCATGCTTTTCATTTACATTACAACGCAGCCATTCAAACTTTTACCCTGATGCAAGTTCTCTCTTAATTCTTGCATATACCCGACGGACACTTGATAAAATGTTGACCAATTTCTCGAAATCTCAGTTCCATAGTCTTCATTGATGACCACTCTCGTCGTATTTGGTCTGATCACTTCAGAATGAATGTCAAACCGTCATTTCAATAACTTGGTCAGCGCTTGACGCTCGTGGCGATGCCGAGGGTGTCGGTCACCCCTGGCTCCTCGGCTTGTGGTGGCGCTGCATGGGGTGCTTCCTGTCGGGCCGCGGCCGCTCCTGGGTCACGACCTGTTCATCGGGGCCGCCGGACCCGGACCCGGGTTCCACGGGGCCGTCAATGTCCACGAGGTTGTCGCAGTCGTCCTGGGCCATGGGAAACATGAACTCGAGGTCGATGGCGTAGCGCGTGAGCTTGTCCCGGAGGTAGGCCTGCACGTTGGCGGGGAGGTCGGGCTCGCGGCTCAGGATGAAGGAGGACAGGTAGCGAAGCGAGCCCTCCTGTTCGGCACAGTGCAGCAGGAGCGCCCACGTCGTGTAGTCCGAGTCCAGCACATAAGTGTTGTACACTCCCTGATCTGCACGGGTAATATCACTGAGTTAGAATCAAATTACGAGTGGCCCCATAGCTGCAGAGAATTAAAACGTCACCCGAACAATAAAAATCAAAACTATCAAAATTGAGAAAAACTTATAAGGGTTACAGGAACATTTTCCAGTACTATATCAACTATATGTACCAGGTGGCCGATTTACGCCACGCACTTTCGTAGCTATACTGTACCGCATGCACGCGTGCGGGATGGTTGCCTACTCACACGGGGCTATAAGGAGCCGTGGGAGCGAGCAAGCACAGGCAAACCAGTCCGCACCTGTGCATGCAGTACAGCATAGCTACGAAATTGAGCAGCGTGCATAAGCCACCTTGTATACAAGGTGGGTGATCGGCGCCATATTTTTTTAATGCTTATTCTGTACCGGATTTACGTGTGTGGTCGGGCTTGCCTACCGTCGCTCGCCATTGCGCCTTACGGCGACGGCGCGGATCACCCACCTTGTATTGTAAAGTTACAATTTTAAATTGTAAAATTACAAGTCCTCTGTAACGACTTGGAATTCATTGACGAGCAAGAATGGGCTGTCGCAGATTTATAACATATTTTAAAAATTAAAAATACAAAATACATTATAAACTTACGAAGGTATTTTTGCAGTGTTATCTAACGTAAATCCATTTTTTTTAAACGAAAGGAAATACGCGTGACACAAGAAAATCCTCAGGCAATTTTAAAATTCTGTGGATACTCACAGGACTCCTCTTGGTGCCTCCAGTGCGCGGGCCGCCCCAGGTCCGGCAGCAGCCACGTGATGTTGCCCCGCAGCCGCTCGCCCATGGGGTCGTCGCTGAAGGCGTACGTGAAGTTCATGGTGACGCGGGGCCCGGGAGCGGCGGTCGACGGCGCCGTGCTCAGGCTGAAGTCGGCGCGCATGCACCGGTACTCTGGCAGCTCCTCGCTGGACGCGTAGTATTGCACCACGTACCAGTGACCCAGCATCTGCGGCAGGCCGAGCGTGTAACCGTCATTGTTCAACTGGCATACACCTGCAGGTGTGTAACAAATTGCGTTAAAAACACTTGAATGTAGAGACAAATAAAAAGAAAATTAAACAAATCATATTCTCCTCCCGAAATGTTTAAGCACTTTTTTGTGTTTCTTCGCTAGCGTATCTCTTAGAAAAATGTGTATTTCATTTTAACTTGATAAAAGAACAATGGTATTTTTTTTTAATACTTTTTTCCAAGAAATTAGAAGGTTTAAAATTACTACATAGTTTGTTAGGTTCTTATTTTTTTTGAAGTCTAGGTAGACAAAGCCTGTATTTCAATGTCTTCTGTTAAACTGATGCCACATAAGAAATCTAATCCGGACATCACAAATGTCTGAACACATACAGAGTTTACACTTTTGTTTGCCAGATCAATAACATACTCGAATTCGAGTGCAGTATGTGCAATACGCGCCTCAATTACTTCACTGTATACTAGATAATTTGCCTATCCTTGGTTGATCGTTTTGTTTTAGTCGGTTTTAGTTCTAATATTACTTTACAGTAATCGATTACAGTAAACGATCGGTATTAATGTACTAGGGAAACGTTTAGTAGTATTGGAACTAAAAAATGACGAAGAACAGGTATAAGTTACAACTAACAGCGCAGAAATTTTAGTACTTTACCAGGAAATTTTCCTATTAAAAAGTTTAGAGTGTATAGGCGTTGGGTATCTTTTTCCCACGTAAAGATTTTTCACTAGTTTTCATGATACCAATGACTATTTACTCCCTCAGTACTCACGTCGTGCAGATGGAGGTGCCGGATGGCCCTCACCGTGGGGCACACCCTCTCATCGTCGCCCAGCGCTGCGGTCGCCAAGGGGGCGGCGCCGACAAGCAGCAGGAGCAGCGCGGCCGCGAGTGGCGCTGAAGGAAAACCCGGACAAACTATACGTAAGCAGGGGAACACTGCAACTATCTTAATGTGTAAAGTAGTGTTCCTATTTTTGGTTAAAAAAAACAACAACAAACAAACAAACAAACAAGGGGACAACGGAATGACGCGTTTGGTTTCTCTTGCTCAGAAAAGTGTTTTCTTGTCTCAAGTAGCATTTACGCAATATCAGCTCTTCTACTGGCACAAATACACAAGAAAAATTTTCCTTGGTTGTAAGAATTTTTTTTTTCATTCGAAAAGGTAGTATCATCTGATATAATCGTGTGTCAATTTTTAAAAATGTACTTGAAACAAGGAAACATTTTTTTCTGTCTACTTGCTGTTTGCCAAAGTATTTAGTTCTTTGTAAGTATTAGACAAGATATTCAGTAATAAATTCCAACGCTACGTTTACGGTTTTTCTTTGCACAAAAATATAACACTGCACATTTCGACTCGTTCCCGTGCATTAGGCGCGTGAACGATATGTACTACCGTGATCGAGAATAATAAACCCACGTGGTTGGTGAACTCGCCTCATGTATCGCTTTTACTCGAGCCGTAAATCGAATTTGTAAGCGTAAAATGAGCCAGCCGCTGCTGGCGGTTACTCACTCCACTGCCGGCCCATCATTCTCTCCGCGGATGCCGCCGAGTGCACTCCCGTCGACCCGTTCCGGCAGACGAGGCAGGAGGCGGTCGATGTGTGCTGGTGCTTGGTCTTCTTGGCGGCCGTGGCGGCTGCGACTGCTGGACTGACTCACGCCATGTAGGCCCCCGGGCCCGGGCCGCGCACCCGCTCGGGCTGCGCTATCACTCACTCCACTATCAACTCTAAGCCTCCAGACCAGCGGCAAGAGGCCCGCTTCGTCCCGCACCCCGCACCACTATACGTCTGCACCCGCCGGCGCGGCGGCGCTCTCCTTCGTCTTTGCTCTTTCTCCGTCTGATCCCCGGCGCGACATTCGCTATTTTCGTTTATCCAAGTTATCGTCTCCCTCCCTCCCCCTCCTCCCCCCAGCCCCTCTCCCTCTCTCCTTCTCTAACTCTCCCTTCATCTCCCTCTCGCTCCATAAGACCCCGAGCTCGACATCAAAGCTGTACTGCTGCACACGTGTGACCGTGACACCCGCGACCGTTCCTTACTTTACGGTGAAGCAGCGTCAGAGCATCGCTTTGAAAAGCAGAAACGGCCCGACGAAGAAACGCCTTTTTGCCTTTCCGCTCGTACTCCCTGAGGAGAAGTCTGTGTATCACTTTTTGATTTAACAGTGTGTTGCTGGAACCCGGCGGCCGCCGAGCTCGACTGTGGACACGACAAAAACCATCAAGAGGCGCTCGACTGCTGCGGCCGGGCCGGCCGGCCGCTGGCTCTGCTCCGCTCCGCTCCTGCTGCCCACACACTTGATCTGGAAATAGTTTCCTTTGGGGAGTCACACGTTCCGCGGGTCTGTAAGTGGTAGTCACAGGCCTACTTCGCATTGCTTTCGGGAAGGGCGCGGCACAGCGCGGCATCCAGCCATTAACCGTCGCGGTCCGTCCGTCCGTCTGTCCGTCCGTCCGTCCGTCGGCCCGTCCCGTCCCGTCCGTCCGTCCGTCCGCCGTCTGCCGATGCGCGCGGCGAGCGCCTGGTACGCGGTGAGCGGCAACCCTTCCGTCGCCAGGCTGTCGCGGAGTGCGGCGCTGCCCGGCGCCACCGTGCGCGCCGCATCTCCAGATGGGTTTACACGTTATACGACGCCCCGACGATAGAAAGAGACACAACGGACGCAACGATCATATTTTCTCTGAAATTTATTACAGTTGTTAAAAGATGAATAATGATAAATACTATAAATACAGGTAATATGCTAATGACTACAACACATTTTAATTTTAATTTGTCCGCGAACCAATAACAAAATGAAAGTCTGTCCGCGTACCCCGAGGGGGTGCTCACTACGAGATTATGTGTACACCTTAACTTTTCACTTTTTCACTTTCAGTTCACTTTCGTAACTTTTCGTTTCACTTTTGCCCACTTTTGCTCAACTTTTTTCACTTTCGCTTCACTTTTTCCACTTTTGCTCAACACTTTTACTTAACTTTTTTCACTTTTGCGCACTTTAACTCAACTTTTTTTCCACTTTTGCGCACTTTAACTCAACTTTTTTCACTTTAGCTCCACTTTTTATCACTCTCACTTTCACTTTTTGACAGCATGTACACCCACTTTCGGAAGTGAGTACCCCCTCGGCGTACCCGCGCATGCTCACTCGACACCTCTTCGCTGTGCCCCAGCCAGCCACAAGACACAGAGAAGAAGTGGCAAGCGATGAGATCGATGAAGAAAAATCATTTTCGGTAACTTAAACAGGGAATGATCTCGCCAACTCCCTCGAACACAGAAACGACATAAGAACTTGCTTACTTTAAGATCAAAAATGTTGTGGTGTGGCACGTTAACGTAAGTCAGACATGAAAATTCGAATAGTTTCGCCAAAGAACTATCCCTCTATTTCCCATTATAGTCAGGATGCCCACACTCGCAGGCCACAACGATTTGTTTCATCTCGAAGCGCCAGTGCTCGCGCAGGAGATCGGGCACCAGGGGGATTTTGTTCATGTTGCCCTCTTGCATCTCGGTCCTGCCCCGGGTGAGCACCGGCATGTCGTAGGTGCGCTGGTGGCAGAAGGGGCTCTTGATGCACTTCTTCTGCTGGATGTGGTGGGGGTAGTGCATGTCACCCATCGTCACGGCCTCGTAGCCGTTGTCGCACGAGCACTGCAGCAGCCCCGTCCGCACGCACTTGTGCCCCGACCTGGCGTCTGTGGGCAGGGTGATGTGAGGGCGTGTATCCATCACCCAGAATTGATATTCTGGGTGGTGAAGGACTACCTGAGGAGGGTGGTACTCAGGGCGACGAGACCAAGCCCACTCCGCCTCCCGGCCCGCGTACTTACCTCTCGAGTGCACCACGATGTTGTCGCAAATGTCCTGCAGTGTCCTTTTGGCGGTGGAGAGCGGAGCCTCGGCCCCCTCTTGCTGCGCCATGACCACGTTGTCGCTGACCTCGTCCATCGCGAGGTCCAGGTCGAGGTCCGCGTCGAACGTCCCCGAGTCCCTGGGTGCGGCCCTGCCACCGCCGTAGCCTCCCACGACGTCGATGCCGCCGAGCGCCACGGCGGCGGGGACATCCTCGGTGTCCGCTGGGTCCAGCCAGGACAGCGCCAGGCGGCGGCCCGAGGTGCGCGCGGGGGCGGCCACGCCCACCATGGCCATGAGGACCGCCAGGACCGCCAGGCTCAGCAGCTGCACGGCTGGCCACTGCACAAACGCAACCGGTCACTGCCCATACACGGCCGGGTGCATCAGACCAAGCACCCTAAGGTTTGCACTCCCTACTGAGTCGCTGGGGCCATGGCGCCCTACGGGCGGAGCGAGAAGATAAACCCGCAATACTGGGGTGTGCGATCGGATGTACGAAATATCAGGTTCACACTTACGGTCGCGCACAAAAAAAAAAACAAACACAAAAAAATAAAACCACTAAATAAAACACACACACACACACACACACACACACACACACACACACACCTTTATCACTCGGCCGGAGATGGTCGGCATGGCCTGCCCCTCCGTGTTGCTGCCTCGCTGGCGGCCACCCTAGTGCGCGCCACCCCGCTTTCACTGGTATAAAAGGACGCACCCCGAC